ACTGGTTCGGACCGTTAGCCACTGTGTCTGACTCATCGTCACTAACTTCAAATACTCTTCTTACCTTCTCAACTAGGTTGGCATGCTCCTTCCGAGCCGTTTCTAGCTCAGCCTGAAGTTTCTCACTGAGAAGCTTGTAAGTATCCATCTTCCCAGTAAGCTCCTGAGTCTCAGCCTCGTGATGGTTTAGCTCTTCCCAATATCGGAGAAAAGTCTTGTGGTGAAGCACCGAGGCTTGCAAACGGAAAAAAAAGTGTTACGATTATTTGCAACTTAATCTAAGTACATAATAAAGAAGCATCCGAAGTTACCCGATTTAACGCATGTTGTGATTATGAACAGAGAGGGTGCTTCCACCTCGTCTATCTTGTCTTGATCCTCTTCGGTCACTAGACACCGAAGATAGCTGGCAACCCCCACGGGGACGGAAAGAACCCGAGCATCCTCCGGGATAGACATAAATATTGACCGCTTCCGGTCAGGATCAGCACTCGAAGCTAGGAACCGGTCTACTAATCTAGGACTTGAAGAAGGCTCGCTGGCTATAGAAGATGGTATCTTCTTCGGTACAGATAAGTCACCCAACCCGATGGCATCCTCTGAGACACTAGAATCTAATCCATCGAAGAAGTTATTGAAAGAATCTCTCGCCTGTTGAGGCCCCTCATTTGTTCATCCTTTCAGCATCTGGGCCTCATTGATCATGGAGTCAGTGAATGAAGGCGGCCCGGAGAGATCTATCACCCGAAGTGCGTCCTTCGGGACATTTTCCTCTTCCTAAGAAGTACCGGCCATGGTTTCTTTGTCGACCTCCCCAGCTCGGGGCAAAATGGCCTCATCCCTCCCCGGTTCCGAGGCCTCGGCCACTGCCTCTTCATCGACTACCTTGGTTTGAGGCAGTTCGGTACCGCTTCTCATGCAGGTCATCATTTCAGAGGCTTCTTCTTCTTCTTTGGACTTATCCCTCAACCGGTGGAGTGATTCCGATGGGAGCTCTTGGGCGCTGGTACTTTATTTGGATTTGTGCACCAACTGCCTCCTCGGTTTCTTATTTTCGGAGATCGGAGCCTTTTTTTCTTTTCTTCTCTTTATCCTACCTCGGAGCAGATGGTTTGGGGAGAATATGTTCATCACCGGATGGAGGCCTCATTGCAACATCTTTGGAAAGACCAGCAAAGGAAAAAGAAGTGAAAACAGGCGCAGTAGGAAACTTAAGTGTTATCCACTCAGGAGAAGAACCTCGCTGTGAGTACGGGCCTCCCACCGGCCCTTTGAAAGATCGCTCCATGCGCGCTCGGAATATGGCTTATGTGACACGATGCTCTCGACCCATTCCTTGAGTTGAGGAACTGCATCCGGTATCCGAGCAAAAGCTGCACCACCACAAAATATCGATGAGAGGGAAGAAAAAGGAAAAGCGATAAAAGAAATCTTAAAGGCAAGGTTATACTTACGTTTCATGTTCCATTTCTCAGGAAATGGCATATTCGTTGCCGGGATTAAATTTGAGGTCTTCACTCGAATGAATCAGCCTAACCAGTCTCGGTCCTGATCCTCGTCGATGCTCGAAAATGGGGCCTTACTGGCCCGATGAGCAAGTTTTATTAACCCCCCTCGATAGAGTCGGGGACTGTACAGACACATGAGATGCTCTATGGTGAAGGGACACCCCTCGATTTTGTCTACGAAGAAACGGAGAAGGATTACTATCCTCAAAAAGAAGGATGAATTTGCCCGAGGGTCACCTCGTACCTCTTACAGAAGGCAATGATGACCGGATCCAAGGGGTCCAACGTGAAGGGGTGAGTGTAAACACTTAAAAAAACCTCCACGTGGGTAGTAATCGCTTCCTCGGGCATAGGAACCACCTCCTTGACCTTGGAAAGAAAGTTATCGGTGATCGAGTATATATATCTCGAGCACGGTTCACACTGACCCGGTACCGAAGAGGTTTTTTCGACCTTGAAATCAGCATTGGTTGGGCACCCCGTAGAAACGAACATCTTCAGAGGGGGTTCCGGTGCCGGTTCCACAATAGCAGCAGACGAAACGTTTTCCTCTACGGCCGGTCGTGAGGTACAGGGAGTTTCTTTTGGGGAACAGACTTTGAAGTCTTCGCCATTTCTTTGATAGGTGAAGGAAAGAGAGGAAATTTAAAGATTAAGTTTGATGGTTGGGAATAAAAACAAATATGAAATTCTTATGAAAAGATTTCAAAATAGCCAAGATTTACTACTTGAAAGTGTTGAAATTTCTAAGAAACAGGAGTAGAGAAGTTTTGGATGTAAAAGTTTGAATGAATAAAGGAGGAGATATTTATAGTTTTCAAATGACGGTTCAAAACCATAAGTGGCCGATCGGCAACTAACGAACATTTAATGCCATGAAGACGTGACTGGCGAGACGTTTCGTTCAATTTTTCATTTCTGACGAGGAGTACCGAGGAGAGATATCGGAGGCTCATATCATTTCGCGTCGTTAATTCTCCAAAAAATGAGGGGACTATCTGTATACGGTCGAAATCGAGCTCGATCACAACTTGGTGGATTAGAGTTGGAATATGGCGACCTCGGACTGAAGATCGATCACGAGTCTCACCGAGCTAAAACCATAGGTCGAAAAACCTGCCTTCGAGAAAAATCGAGTCTGGTGTCGACCTTAGCCTCGAACGAGCTCGGCGATAACTAACAGAATACCGAAATATCCGTGTCCGGTCGGATATTACGGCAAAAATCTCGGCACGAATCAGCAAGGAACCGATAATTAGCAAATAAAGAACACACATCACAAAGCAATATACTGTTATTTTTAATTTTTATTATCTCGTCATTCTGTTCCGACATCGATAGAAGCATTTTCTAGCTCGAGAGTGACTTACCTTGCAAAGCTAAGACTGTTCAACTCGTGTGGTTTGCATTTATTTTTTCTCTATTTAGTTTAACTCTAATCTGATTTATCATTTTGTATCAAATTAGATCATGTATCTTTAAAACTACGTATAAATTCAATTGTTATCTGATTTTGAAGATTTATAGGAAAGCAGAGGCATATAACGCATGGGTACCATGCACTGTACCAACCGACCATTTAAACTGGTATGTTACGCCAGAGTGATATAGCTCATGGTACCCATGTGCAGGGACGGATTTAGGGGGCGGAAGGGGTTCATCCGAACCTCCTTCGCCGAAAAATTACACTATATATATAAGATAAAATCTGTTTATTACCGCTATATAATAAGTTTTGAACCCCCTTGACACAACCCAAAAGTGTAACTTAGTGGTTAAGGGGGTTCAAAATCTTTAAAAGGTTATAGGTTCAATTTTCACTAGCTATGATCTTTTTTTTCTTGAACCCCTTTGAGAAGATCCTGCCTCCGCCAGTGCCATGCGCTATATGTAATGTTTTCACGTTAGTTTGGTTCTTCAAATTCAATTTTGCGCGACTTTGGTTCCGTCTCTAGTCGTTGTTTGTCCATACAATAACATTGAGTATTTTTGATTGGTTGAATCAATATATTTTGTTTAATTTATTTGATTTACTCCTAAAGTAACTGATTCCTGCATAATAATTTACTTATTATTAATTACTGCACAATTAATTATCACATAGACAATGCCTACACTATAATCCTACACAATTACCATGTGCACCAAACAACCCCTTAGTACAACTCGAAGAAGCAATATTAAATAATCAAAACATTTATTTTAATAGGTAATATTAAATAATTAAAATTTCTTATTTTTAACATTCAACTTTTATGGATTATGAATTAAGATTCATTTTTTATATATAAATATTTTTGGACATAAATCCTTGCTAGTTTTAAAGTGTATATATTTAACTTTGTTACTTTTAAGATTTTTATTTATTATTTATCGTAATAAAGAGTTATGTAAATGAGTAACACATCATGCATTGCATTTACAAATTTGGTGTGATTGAACCTTTTTAAAAAAATCTATAGTGTTTTAATCGAAAAATCTACGTAGGATGAGATGTTCACGAGATTGTTTAACATGTGTTTTGAATTTTCAACTAAGCCAAAGTTTGGAACTCATTTTGTGTTAATAAAATCCCACCCAACATCCGAGTTTGGAATTGGGTGCTACCCCTAAAAAAAAAAAGAAACTGAACCAAAATTTATAATTTAACGTTATCAATAGGAGTTTTTTCACACAGTACGTAGTACGTATAAATTTCGATTCCAATTGGCGCTTTCTCCTTTTAATTACTTCCCGTAATGTGATGAAAAAGAAAAAAAGGACGTAAAGCAAAGAAAAATGGGTATCCACGTTGACTCTGAAGAATAAAATGGTGCAATTCTAAAGTCAAATGATCAGATTCATCGAACTAGCCTCACATGTTGAAAAATCAAAAGCTATTATCATTTAAATTTCTTGTGTCCCTGGAATTTTCTTTTGTCTTAACGTATCACACATTTTCTGTACCAGATTAACTTTTTCTGATGGAATTAGGCTATTAGGCACCACTTGTTCAAATGGTTTTGTAGTTTTTTACAAATTTGTTTTCAGTTTTATGTCTGTTTTATAAGAGATCTTCATTTTTAATTTTTTACACAGAGAAATCTGAAAAAATAATATACAAGAGATCTGAAAAGATCATATTCATATATTCAAATTGTAAATGGTTATAAGAAATCATTTCCTGGAAAAATAAATATATGTAACCCCGCGCCCTCTGATTTTTTACATGACAAGTTTTTCCAGAAAATTTGACTGTATTAATACTTATACATTTGATATAATGCTCTATCACATTATATACCAATTATTCTATTAATAATTTGTTATACTAAAGTAAATAAATTTGGGAGGAAGGTAAGAGAATGATAACGTGACTGTAGACAACTTAAAATAGTTTAACCAAAGGAGTGCCTAGTATATTTTATTTTTAAGTATTTCATTGTTCCAAGGTATTAATATCTGGCAAAAAGTCTCAACTTGCTCATGAACTGTGTAAAATTGTCTAACTGTTCTTTCCATTAGAAGTTTGCAACAAAAATGCACTGATATTACCAATAAATTTGCTTCTGATTTAATTTGTTTCCTAAACTACAATGTTGGGTTTGTTTGTTTGGAGTTTCTCCTTCTCTTAGATTGGCCTAACTTTAAAAACCAGTTCACTTGCTCAGAAACACCAATATTAGGTGAATCCATGTGGGGTTAGATTCATTGACTTCATTTTCTTTTCATTAGATGTATAGAAAATTCCTATCTACTTTTGTACTCCATTGCTTTTTCTACACTTCCATTCCATGCCTCTTGCCAAAAGTCAATCAGAAAAAATGTCTCAGTTTGTTCATCATGTATTCTTGAGTTCCAGAAGCAAAGAAATAAGCAAGACATTTGGAGATCATCTTCAAACAGCTTTGCTAAATGCTGGTATTCGCGCATTCAAGTTTGATGAAGAGCTTGAGGAAGAAGAGGAACACCAGAAAAAATTGCAGAAAGTAATTCAGGAATCCAGAATTCTTATAGTTGTTTTTTCGAAAGACTATGCTTCTTCAGAGAGATGCCTTGATGAACTTGTGTATAGTCTTGAAAGCAAGAAACGTTTTGGACATTTTGTTCTTCCTGTGTTTTATGATGTGGATCCATCAGAAGTCCGAAAGCAGAAAGGCAGCTTTGAAGAAGCTTTCTTTAGATATGAAGAGAAATATAAAACAGAGAACAACGAAAGGAGAAAGAAATGGATGGAGAAGGTGGACAAATGGAGGGCTGCCTTTAGAGAAGTTGCTGATTTGGGAGGAATGGTCTTACAGAATCAAGCTGATGGGTAATTCCTTTAGAACTTTTCTGTTTATGTCATTCAGTTATTGTTAGTGCTAATTACAAAATGTAAGAATACTGGATTCAATCAAATTTTCAGGTATGAATCAAGGTTTATTCAAGAAATCGTCAAGGTGGTTGCAAGTAAAATGAACCGCACAATTTTAAGTGTTGCCCTCCATCCAATTGGAATAGATTCTCGAGTCAAAGACCTTAACTTATGGTTACAAGAGGAATCAACCACTGTAGATATCCTGGCAATACATGGTATGGGAGGAATTGGGAAATCTACAATAGCGAAAACAGCTTATAACCTGAACTTTGACAGATTTGAGGGAAGCAGCTTTCTTGCAGATGTGAGAAAAGCTTTAGAAAAGTACGATGGTTTAGCTCGTCTACAAAGACAACTTCTCTCAAATATTCTTGGGAAGAATGTTGAAAAGTTGTACAATGTCAATGAAGGGGCTGTCAAGATTCAAGAAGCCATCAGCTGCAAAAGAGTTCTTGTTGTTCTCGATGATGTGGACGAGTTAGATCAGCTAAATGCTGTACTTGGTATGCGGCAATTGTTTTATCCAGGTAGTAAAATTATCATAACAACAAGAAATGGGCACTTGCTAAATTCCAGTGAAGCCTGTAGATGTAAGATGTATAAGCTGAACTCTTTGGATGCTAGAGAATCACTACAGCTGTTCAGTTGGCATGCATTTGGTGAAAAATACCCTCCCTTAGATTATATGAATCTTTCCAGAGACGTTATAGTTCATTGTCAGGGAATTCCATTAGCTCTTAAAGTTTTGGGTTCCTCTCTTTGTGACAGAAGCACAGAGGTGTGGGAAAGCGCATTAAGGAAATTGAAAGCGATTCCAGACAGTAAAACCCTGGAAAAACTAAGGATAAGCTATGAATGTCTACCAGATGATAATGTCCAGAACCTATTCCTTGATATTGTCTGTTTCTTTGTCGGGAAGGACAAAGATTATGCAGTAACAATACTTGACGGATGTGGGTTCTTTTCAGTTGTTGGAATTCAGATTCTTGTTGATAGATGCTTATTAGCAATTACTGACAATAAAAAACTGATGGTGCATCAACTGCTTCAAGACATGGGAAGAGAAATTATTCGCAAAGAATCCCCTCGAGAGCCTTGGAAAAGAAGCAGAATTTGGCTACATAAAGATGCCTTTAACATATTGCAGGCAAACACTGTAAGAATCTAACTCCATGATTTTGAACATGCATTTCAATATCCCTTAATAAATATGATTGGTTGCTTTTCATCAGGGTACTGAAAATATCCAAGGCCTAGTGCTTGACATGCGACTGTTGAAGGAAGTCAAATATGTCGGATCAAATCTAAGGGTAAATGACGCTAGACACAACCGCTCTAATGATCCTGCAGGCGAGAGATCGCTGGTGGTGAGTGACATCAACTCACAAAAGCGACGGAGGTTAACTGTTTTCAAGCTGTTCACAAATGTCTTTTCAGAAATTTCTAATGGTGTACAGTTTGAACTTGATGCATTTTCAAAGATGAAGAAACTGAGAATTCTACAGCTTACTGATACAAGGTTCACTGGCAGCTATAGTTGGTTTCCTAAGAATTTAAGATCACTTCATTGGCGTGGATTTTATTTGAAATCCATTCCGAAGGATTTTCCTTTGGAGAGTCTGGTAGCTCTTGATATGAGGCACAGCAGCTTGGAACAAGCCTGGATCGGAACCAGGGTATATGTTGTACTTTCATGTTTTAGCAGTAGGTGAAGTAGTAATGGCTTCGTTTAGTAAACCTAATGAAGTTGATATTTGCTATTTCAGGTGCTCAAATTATTAAAAGTTCTCAATCTCAGTCATTCTCATTTCCTAGGAAGGACTCCTGATTTTTCTGGGCTTCCTAATCTGGAAAGACTCATCCTAAAGGACTGCATAAGATTGTTCAGTATTGATGAGTCGATAGGAGACGTTAAGGCACTTGTTCTATTGAACTTGAGAGACTGTAAGAATCTGAGGAATCTGCCAAGAAGTTTTTGTAAGCTCAAATCCTTGGAAACACTTAACATTTCTGGCTGCTCTAGACTTTCTATATCAACAATGGAATTAGGAAAGCTGGAATCCTTAACAACCCTCAACGCAGATGAAATAAGTTACAATCAGGAGAAATCATGGACTGCGCTCTGGCAATCTTGGTCATCAAAATTAAGAAAATCCCCTGATTGTAACTTGTCTTCTTTATCAAGTTCCCTGGTTAACTTGAGTCTTGCAAAATGCAGGCTAACGGATGATTTTCTATCCGTTGGTCTTTGCAATCTTTCCTCATTAAGGCATTTGAATCTAAGCGAAAACCTGATTTGTAACCTGCCACAAAATATCACAAATCTAAGTATGCTTCAGGAACTTTGGCTAGATGCATGCTCAAGTCTCCAATCGCTTCCCAAGCTACCGCCGAGCCTCATCAAGCTGAAGGCTATAGACTGCACATCACTAGAAAGAGTTACAAATCTGCCAAACCTATGGGAAACTCAAACTCTACTCTTGGATGTTACAGGCAGCGAGAAACTAACTGAGATTCCTGGACTTTTCAAGCTAGAGCCAGTCGGTAATTTTAAGGAGGAAATGTTGAACATTTTAGGCCATCTCAACCTGGAAGATATAGAAAATGCAGAGGTAGAACTATTCAATAGGCTTACAGACACGAAGAGGAAATATCCTGTGCAGGTATACGATTTTTTTGTTAGCATGGCTTTCATCTGATTATGTACTAGAGTCCACCCCTACAAAGTACAACAGAAACAAAAACAAGAGATAAAAAGCCAACTCCTATGGCAAGTTTATCGTGCTTTATTTTTTTCCTTTAGGGACTCCACGAGTTTGGAATCTTCAGCACTTATTTTCTTGGAAGTGAGATTCCAAGTTGGTTCAGCAACAAAGGTGAAGAAAGCATATTGACTCTGAAAGTGGATTCTCATACTAATACAAAGATAATAGGACTTAATATCTGCGTTGTATATTCACGTTCCACTCATCATAGATTTCAACGCTGGGGTGAAAACCAACTTGGGAACTGGTATTCTTTTTTCATCAAACTGAGTAATGTGACCAGCGGTGACAAGTGGATTTATGCTCCAACATTCATAGGCATTCCAGGATCAAATGAAGATCTGACATTTTTGTGCCACTGGAAATTTGGAAAGTATATACAAGCTGGTGACGAGATTAATGTCTCTGTACTTGGTTGGAGTTATACTTTTCAAATGAAAGAGTTTGGAGTCAGCATTGAATGTGACAGACCAGAAACAGACCAGCACTTAACATCAACTAGTGAATCAAAAGAGCTAGCAATCCAACATGGGTATCCAAGTACTTCTATGCAAGAGCATTGTGTCATGGGAAGTTATATGCCTGTATATCAGGTTGCAGCTCGCCATTACTACTTTTCTCACCCAGACTACTTTTTGCTTAAATCCAATGAACATACAGCTGTGAGGTCGATCTTGTACGAGAACTTATTTGAGGATTTTGTGCACAGTACTACAGGTTTAAATTTTTTTTAGATTTCTGTTTCAGACTAACCGTACTTTTTTCTTCTCACTGATAGGTGATAAATTTGGTAACCATGTTTTCTTGAAGGTACCAAAGATGCAGGAGCAGAAGATGATAGCGATTTTGATTTCGATGATGAGAACTACACTGAGGAGGCTGCCTTGGCAGAACTAGAGGACAACTTAGAATGGCCTTGGTAACAAATAGAGAAGTGAGGCACGCAACATGTATAGTAAAAGAACCAAACTAAGCAAGAAATCATTGCAGATATTGGATCAAAGAAACAGTTGCTTGACTGCAATCTTCTTTCCCGGCCTAGTAATTATTTCTACATCTTTATCTTTTGAATTTTTTCTCTTAAGTTTTTGTTTTTACTTCATGCTCCATGAATATTCAGAATGTTTCCTGGTTATTTGGTTTTGCTAATATCCAATAAAGGCGAGCAATGTTCAAACGAACCTTCGCATATCTTTTTCTCAAAGTTCATGTAGGGGGGAGATTTTGTGGGATGGAGGTGGACTTAATGTTTGCATCAAAGTTGAAGAATCTTTTGAAGTTTTTAAATTTAAGAGGAAGACTAGTCAATTTGCAGTGAACATGAGGAAGAGGAATGAATATTTAAATTACATTATCCTCATTGCAGTAGTCTAACCTTTCACCTGAATCATTTCAAATGACATATTGTAGCAAGCATTCAATACCTTAATTAAGTTGATCGGCCGATGTAGTATATTAATACAACTAGATGACGTACCTGTGCGATGCACGGGCCCAATTGTTGCTCTTTTTTCTTATTTTCTTCCTTTTAATATTACTTGATCTATTGCTAATTACGCACTTTATTCGTCTTTCACGGAAAGAAAAAAATATAGGCATTTGTATAATAATGTATAGAACCAGATTTACCTTTATTACAACAACAACAACAACCCAATATAATCTCACTAGTGGGTCTGGGGAGGGTAGTGTGTACGCAGACCTTACCCCTACCCTGAGGTAGAGAGGTTGTTTCCAATACACCATCGGCTCCCTCCCTCCAAGAACTCCCACATTTACCTGTATTATTTTTTTTAATCTTTTGCATTATGTGTATTTTAATTTTTCTGAAATCGTATTACTATACCAATTACTTTGTAATACATGTTGAAGTCTAACACTTTATTTTACAAAGATTATACAATACTTCAAGTGCAATGTAGAGTATTTCTACATAGGTTCTAGATATTTTTATTTTTAAAAAATAGTTTTGCACCACCAAACTTAAAATTGATTATAAAAAATTGATTGAAAAGTCAATTGAAAAATAAGTCATGATGTATTTTCTCATTGTTTAAATTGAATATCTATAGTTTTACTCTTTTAGTATTTTCAATTGTGTTAATGTATTATTTTTTCTTTTTATATTAATCAAAATTTGAATAATAAAACATATTAATTTTATTTCCAAATAGTTGAAGAAAAAGATTTTTTTTGTTCTTTGAAAAAATAATTGTAATTTTTAATTATTCGGAATTGTTTTACCAGAATATTTTTATGTTATTCTAGTTTAATGACATATCTGAATAATTTATTAAAAATAAATTTATTTATTCATTAATTCTAAATACTAATCAAATTGACTTTAAATTGAAGCATTGCAGTATTTGTCTAGTTTAATTAGATATGATTGAGATACTCTAGGGTGTAATACAACTTTCTTTACCATAATTATTTGTTGAGCTTTTTTAAAAATTGTTAATTTTATATTTATGTATTTTGAAATTTATATAATGTTGAATTATTTATTGAACACAGAGGAAGTACTCAACTAAATTTAATCATAGAGAAAAAAATATAATCATGCAGAATGATACTTCTTATGGTGCCTAATACATAATAAAGAAAACAATTCCCCAAATTAGTTGTCTTAATCTTTTGTTTAGATTATTCTAAAATAATGTTTTATAGAGGAAATCATTATTATACAATTTGAACAATATTCAATATTCTATAATGAAAAAGGAACTTAACTATATTTTATTCTTAAAAGAAAAAGAAAAAATTAATACTTAGTTTGATTCCAAGATGTATGATTGAATCAAAGTGATTTTTACTTCATTCAAGCATTGGATCTCCTGTCTCATCTCGATTAAGAGGGGTCATGGAAAGAACAGGTTCAAAGTCACGATCAATTTCTATTTCAAATCCTGTTGCAGTTGCACGAGCCCATATTTTTTTTCTAATTTTATAAAGTATTCCAATTAAAATTATAATTTAATGAGAACTTGCATAAAATTATATCAATTGATACTAATATAAGAACACCTTAATAAAAATTATTCACGTGTATATATATACTGGAGTTCTAACCGCAGTCTGCAATAATTGTGATCCATCAAAGTGCCAGATTCAGATCATTTAGCATGGTTGATTTGGTAGATATAAAAAGGAAAACCAGATGAAGCAGAAAGTTATATGGACAAAATTATAGGAGCGTCATCTTATTTCGTATCCTGCTAATATAATTATGTCTAGCAATGAATAACTTCTTTTAGTGGGTAAGTGTCTAAGCGCGTGGCATGCAAGAACCAATCTAGTCAAAGAAGGGCAATAAAAGAAAATTCATAAATCACAAAATTATTGTTTCCAGAATTAATTTGCGAGACCATTTTGGTTTCTGCCTTATTTCTGAACTGCAGTAATCTTTTTCATTGATGCGATTCCTTAGAGGTCCACACTTTGGCACCATGGTATGCCCTGATATAGTATTTATTTTTAAGAAAGTGTGACCATAGAGATGGAATGATTCTGAATCTCCACCATCTCTTGGTGGCCAGTGTATTCCAGATATTCTGGATGCTTTTAATACCAATTCCTCCTTCTTCCTTAGGAAAATATATTTTCTTCCAAGCACTCTAGTGGTACTTATTGTGATCACCACTAGAACCCAGAAGAAGTTTACAAAATGCCTCTCCAATTATTTCAAAGTGCCCTTAGGCGGGCACATAGCAGAGAGAGTATAGGTAGGAAGGGACTGAACCACATGTTTGATTAGAACAATTTTAACTATGTGAGATAATATTTTACCATGCCATCTATTGAGTCTCTAAACCACCTTGTTGACCATATCATCCAAATATTGAATTTTTTTTTCTTTCCACAATCTTATCCTTGTCCTCATTGTTAAATTTCACCAAATATATTGCAAGCCTTCCTCCCCTGCCTACTGCCTAGGCAGCATCTTCAGTATGTGGTGATGGCATTGGAATTTAGTCGAAGTATTGTGGGAGTTGATGGAAGAAAACATCCAACCAGATTGGAATATATATATATATATATATATATATATACACACACACACACATACTGGAGCTCTAACATCAGTCTACAGTAATTGTGATGCATCAAAGTGCCAGATTCAAATTAATATATGTTCTATATTATAGTAAATAAATTTCTTCTTTTATATAAGATTTATGGATTAAGTTTTTAATTTATACTGAAGGATGTATTTTGATATATTTGAGCCATCATGTATCCATTAAGTAATACCAATGGCTTAATATTATTTCTTTGGATAACTATATTTTATACTGATTAAAATTTTTAATATATAATTTTACTTATATTTTATATTTTAATTATAGTGTTTTTTTGGTGGTTGTTATTTTATATTTTTATTATATAAAAATAAAAATTTAATTAAGTTATTTTATGATAATATTTAAATTTATTTCTCTCTTTTATATAATACTAATTGTTAGCTGAACATTTATTGTCCATTTTCGTAATTTGACACTCAAAAATATTTTAAAAGAATGGTCAAACACAATTTGCTCGTTAAATATTGCAAAAAGTACTTCTCAAATGAATTGGCCAAATACAACAATTACTTTTCCAAAGTACTTTTTCGAAAAATATTTTTGAACAAATCACTTTTCAGAATAAGTAGTTTCTATAAGCTTAGCCACACTGGCTCACTTTTCAAAATATGTAGTTTTTGACTAGTTGGCCAAACGAGCTCATAGCTGCATAGATTTAGTGCTGAACATAACATCACACGAGCAATCAACACGTATTTATCGAAAATACTAGCAGATACAAGAGAAAAGGAGTCCTCTTTTGATGTTTTCCACTTCGTGCGGTAGACGTAAATACACGTGCGATAGAAACATGGGAGTAAAAATATTTGGAGCCAACGTCAGGAATGAAATGAATCAGGGACTATAACAAATACAGTTTTGTTCATTTGGTAACTTAATTCCACCAGCAATGATTTCATTGAGATCTCATATACACAATGAGTCACAGCATCTACTATCCCCTAGTCCCTAGACAAATTAAGCCATGTTTATCTCATACGTGAATTATAGCAGTTGCAGCCCCCATTACAAAGTAAGGCACCTGTCTTCTGCATCTCTCACGCATAGTAGCGCATTATAGTATTCATATCAGCAGTCTTAAGAAATAGAGACATACATAACCCCCACACGGAATAGAGAAGGCAATTCCAAATACACAATGACAAAAGGCACAAATTTTCTTGATCTAAAACACAATCCAAAAGCATACAAGAGAAAGCAGAATGCAAAGTCTAAAAAAATGGCGATCTAGCATACATTAATTCTGACACTGGTCACAAGCTTGACCTTTTTTTGTTTGATAAGTTAAGCTACAAATTCTACACCTTTCATTCACCATTTGACTGATGCTTGCTCTTCAGTTTGCACAGTCTAAACTCTGGCCCTCTTGTTGCTGCAACTAGGACACTTATACTGCTTGATGTGCTCAGCCTTTGCTGGAGTAATCTTCACACATTTGCCATGGAACCATTTCTCACACACATCACAGCAAATCCAGAATTCATCTTGGCCATAATTATCACCGCAAGCTCCACAGAGGGTTGCCCCTTGTTCATCTTCCTCTTCTACCTCCTCCCCGCTCTCATCCTCCTCTTTAGGTGGAGACACCTTAACTCCCTTGTGCTGAGGCTCCGACTGACGAAGCTGCAGAACAACGTTGATAGCAGAAAACAATCAAACAACATGAGAGAAAAGAGGACCAAAAAGCATTAATATCAAGGTCATGTAGATTGACAACCTTTCCGCTTGATTTACTTTTGCTGCTGTTATTATGAGCAGCATCCCTTGCCTGTTTAGCAGCTCCAGTCACAACCTCAAACACTGTAGGGAGATCATTTATCATCTGGAAAAGCCTCTTCCTGTATATACGATTTCCCAAAAAAAGTCAATATCTCTTCTGAAGGAACTTCAGACAAACATTAAGCAATATAACCCATATTTCCAGAGTGATCTAGCTAGGTGAAATATTGCAAACACTTGACTAACATAAACCACATTCATGAGTCAACAAGCTAAGGTTACATGTTCAAACGATGTACACACAACTATCGAACCTTAGCAAGAGGTACTCCAGTAGAAAATCCAGATTAACAATATTTTTTTGCATAGCTTACACT